AAATGTCACATGAAGTGACTGGACGTCCTCTGCATAAAATAAATAAAAAAAAATACAGCGTCCTGTACTCCCAGTAGAAGTTATGGTCAAATATAAAGCACCATAACTCCCCCCATATGTTCATACTCAAGGTATATACGTTCCAAGAGTTTTGGTGCGTAATCTATTTCACTTTACGTTGTTTACATATTTTTTAGACTTGGTAACGACTCTTAAACCATAGCACAATCAATCATAATAAATCATTCAAGCAATCAAACATACCAATTTAATTCATGAATAATTAGTGACCACATAATTTAATGTTGAATCCTTTTTAAACTACCTCGGTGTTAAATAACACCTTAAGTGCATAAAGCACCGCAAATCCTATCCCTCGGTGTTTAGAATACCTTAAATGCACGTAGGCACCGCATTTCCTTTTATTACTGTGTACTAAGACACTTAATAGCTTAATTCCCATGCTTAAAGCATCAATAAAAATTATATGAACTACAATAAAATTCCCTTTTTATATTCCATACCAAATTAAACATTTAGTTTAATTAAACATGCTCTCAATCATGCCAATAATAAAAGTGTAGTTCATATTCAACATGCCAATAGAATTAATTCCACTCATCAATTCACCACAAATAATTCATACTTCACAAATCAATCACCAACATCAATCCAATCAACAATTCCAACCAATACCTATCATGATACTACCATGGAATTAATCAAACAAAGCCTAGCATGCTTCTATACACTTAAATAATTACCAAGTACTCGAACGTACCTTGAATACCATCTCAAAATCGCCGCGGCTAAATGAAATCAGTCACTTGAAAAATTCTACAAACCAAAATTTCAAAGAGGCATTAATACCTATTCCACACAAATTTCAAGCAATATATACACTCCTTAAATCACTCATAAATCCTTTAAAGCTAAAATTTAATTTAAAACCCTTACTTTTATTCCCAATTAATGGGTAATTAAAAATCCTTTAAAGAAACTTAATTGTAGCTTATATACAAAAATTTCAGCTTTATTAAATCATCTATAATTGCTGTAATTATTATGTTTTAAAACACCTATTTCAATAATTTAAATCACCCATAAACAATTTCCATCAATATACATAAACTTAGAAACCTAGGGTTTGTAATTTGGGGCTTTTTAATTCAAAACATAATCTGAAAATTTATATACATCATACTTAAAATCAAACATCATAAAAATCATCACAAAACCCAAAAACAATAATTAGATTAAGGGTGGATTTAATTAAAAATCAGAAGAACAATTTTTTTTTTTACAAAACACACGCACACACAAGGGGGGAAAGGAGGGTGGTTGGCGCCACCTCCCACGGCTACTGCTGCTGCCGGCCCTGTGCTAGTGGTGGCAGCCGGCCACCGTGGTGTGTGTGGTGGTGGTGTGTGAAACAAAATAAAAATAAAGGGGAAGGGGAAAAATTAAGAGACAGAAAGAAAAAATAAGAGGAGAGAGAAAAAGAGTGTTACCTTGGGTATTCTCCACCTTAGACAAAGTTTAATTTGTCCATGTGATGGGTATTTATACTCCCTTTCTAAAACCCTCCTAGACTTAAATTTCCTTTTTACCCTTAATGATCCCTTTCCTATTCAAACTAGTATTTTGACTCTCCCTAAATACCATTGACTTTAAAAATTACCTTTTATAAAATAATATGCCCCAAAGTTTCCAAATCATGAAATAAAATATTTTCAAGATTGTTAAATAATTAAAAATAAACTTTTAATTAAATAATTCTTTTTAAATTAAGGAAACACCATAATTAATTCATTTCGAATTATTTTAAATACTTTAAGGAATACTCCTTTAAGTTAAAATACGTATAAAAATACAAGATATTACAATAAGATTCCAGATGATTATGTTTGATACATAATATAATAATATAAATCATAAAAGCTAGTTAAAGTATAGTTTGTGAATAGAGCAAAAGTAAAGATGATGTCAACTAAAAAAAATAGATATATATATATATATATAAATTAAACGAGTATACTAAAGTAGAAAATTAGAAAATTTATTGGGTAGCAAGGTACTTATTTAATTAAATAATTAAGAGCATGTTCTTAACATCTTATAAACATATATACAAATTCTTAAATGGACCTGGTTTACACAAATTTATTGTGGACCACTAACATTAGAGATACTTTTATTGTTTTATTAATAAAAATAAAAGGTCACTACATTAAAATAAAGGTTATTATGTTGAAATAAAAGCGATTGGGACATTATAAAAGTTATAAGAGGTTAATTTTTTGGGATGTAAACAGAAATAACATTAAAGGTCACATAAGTTTTAATAAAGGTTACTATGTTAAAAAATAAGGATATTATGTTAAAATTACGGTCACTATGTTCCAAATAACGTTAGTTCTTAGTGTATATAAATCTCAGGTCTACAATAATATTATCGTGGACCACATCCACGCAAAAATTTCTAAAACATATAATATTGATTCCTACGCAATGGCAAGAATAATTAATATCTTGAAGGTGTTATTATAATGTATCCCTACTTTAGAAGAAAGCTAGCTTTATATAAAGAATAGTATATCAATAATTTGGTAATGAAGTTTACAAAATATAGCATATTATAGTATGTGAGGCATCACAAATTATACTTACCGTCTCATAGACACATTTCACTTGAAAGAAAACATAATGCATCCTCCATCCTCAACATTGACAAAATTTACAATGTTCACATACATGAACATAACTCTGTTGGCCGTCTTTTGTGATTTATATGTTAGAAAATATAAAATTATGTGCATGTGGAATCTTGTTAAATTTGTCTTGATTTATACTTCAAAGTATCAACCTTTTTTTTTTCTTTACAGCTACAATATATATAAAGATATTAATGACATATATAAATAGTGAACTGATAAATGTAAAACTCCAACGTTGTAGTTAAAAAAGAACGGAGGAAGTATTTTATTTTCATTTCACTCAGCTTTCTAGTTGCTGCTCACATGAAAAACCTTGTTTTACAAGAAAAAAATCACATTAATAATTCCAACTTTAAGCGATTTACCTATTTGGGATATGATTATATTCTAATAATCTCACCTTTAATTTAATTTGCTACAGTTTGCCTCTAGCACCCCAAATGACCAATTACCTAATGAATGGGTAATTTTTTTTTATTATATTAATACCACATGTTGCAATTTAAAAAAAAAATTACAAAATAGAAATTAAAAAAAAAAAAAAAAGAAAAATAAACTAACCTACCTTTCCCTACCACCACTCTCTCCCCTTGCCCCACAGTTAAACCCCAATACCCAACCCCTCCGCCCCTTTTCCCACCGTGTAAACCCCTACCCTCCACCCCTCCCTTTCCCTACCAGTACACCCACAACCCCACCCCAAACCAACTCCCCCCACCCCGCACCCCTGAACCCTAACACCACCTCCTCCACGAAATCGTTCGGAATTATTATACTTCCCTTGTGTTTTAATAAGTGTTACACTTACCATATTCGACCATATTTTAATAAGTGTTACACTTTTTTTTTGGCAAAAAGTTATATTTTAATATTATATCTTTTTCTTATGGTCCCCACACAAACCCACTACTATTATTTTTTTTATTATTATTTCTATCCTCTCACATTCATTACACAATAAACTATTAACCACATTATCTTTTTTTTTTTTTTTTTGTACAATTTTTTAATACTCCAACTACTCCACTTACCTCTTATTTTAATTCAATTAAATTGCCTAAATCTATGTGCCGCTCAAAGTGTAACACTTATTACAACAGGGAGGGAGTACAAATGATATGGTCATTCATATTTGCGGTAGGGTAAGTTGTTTCGGTCGGTTTCGGGGATGAGGATTGTTAAGGGAGGAGTGTTGTCGGGGTTTGGCGAGGGGAAATTTTGGCCAGTTTCATGCGGGTGATTTAATTTAGAGGGTGGTGGTGGGTTTGTTGGGTCATTTCAGGGGTAGAAGGGGCCAAATGACCATTTCCTATGGTTAGGGGGGCGGTGGCCAATCGATATTCGATTGGGCTAGTGGTGGCCTAGGGTTTAACGATGGAGGAAGGGGAGGGGTGGTGGCTAGTAAAGGGTTTTTTTATAGACTAATAACATGTTGACAAGTGTCATGGTACCTGTTATAGCAGGTCGTTGATCGATTGAACTTGCTAAAGGCAAACTAAAAAGGTGAGATTATTAAAAAAAAATACCAAAGTTGGGGTTATTCAGAATTTCAAAGTAAATTGCCCAAAGTTAGGATTTTTAAAGTGAATTTGTCCTTTTTAGGCCTCACCTCTACAACAAACCACAGTACCACACTAGTTTTTTTTTCATTTTTTTTTTTTAATTTCACTCAGCTTTCTATCAAGCCTCACCCATTTCTTAAGTTTGTTTTTCTACCTTTTTTCTTTTTTTTTTTTTCCTTTGAGGAAAAGTTTCGTTTTTCTACTTTGTTGTCCTTAACTTTCCCTTCTCCTTCAACATTGTCAAGCTGAACACCTAATTGCCTACAATAAACTAAATTTCACAGCTTGCTACAATCAAGTTGTCCTTAACTTTTATAATTAAGCTAGGTATTAACATATGGATATCACAACAAAATTAGGGTCAGTTGTTGGATGGACTAGTTAAAGAACAAATGGAACTATTTTCTACTCTAAAAGTCCTATTTTTTTTTTTACCCCTTTCAAAGCTTTATAGTTTTTCTATTAATTACTGAGCTGATTTTCTCCTTGCTTTACTGTGCATAAGCTAAACTGCTCTAGTAATATAAGTGTGTGGTTCAACAACTTGTGTCTGTATGATGACTATTGTACTACATAGTTCTTAAATAACCTCTCACAACATTCTTAGGTGCCCAAAATCTCATAAAAATTCTTTTAAAAAAAATGTCACTCAATTAACTTAATTAGAAGACATTATTTTGGTTTTCATTTCACTAAGAATGTCTCAAATAATACTCGTACTTCTTTTGTCCTGTCAAAAAATAAAATAAAATTCTTTGCTTTCAAAAACTGCACCACTTTAAATAGCAATGAGTAACTTTGACAATGCATCATGTAATAAGTACTCATGATAAGTGCTTAACACCACAAGAATATTCTAAGCCAATAACTACAAGAATTTTATTGAATTTATTTGTTGCTTCAATTCACTCAACTTTCTGGCTGCTACTGCCTACGCAACACGGAAAAGCTTTACCCTGAAAGTCATAGATTCATCAAATAAGTTATGCATAATTTACAACTAGCAATTATATATAATCCTCTAAAGTTATTAAAGGATGTCAAAAACATATTTATCTTCGACAAGAGAGCTCACCAATTCAAGCAGATACATTGGGTCTCTCTGATTTTGCTTCTTCTTTGGTGAAGGGATCAATAGCACTTTGTACAAGAGGGTTCTGTTCGCCGAAACTCCAATAAGAGAGCACATTATGATGATTATGATGGCTGCCCAAAGAACCTTTGGATATATAACCACATAGACCCCAGTCATAAATGCTAATATAGTGGAGTAAAACGCTACCAAGAGTAACACCATGCTACGATCAATCAATAACAACGAATTACTCGAATCTTGGACCATAGACCATACAAGGCAAATCAAAACCAACATGGAAGTACACATATCCAATGTATTAGACATCAAAAATACCAAAAATGCAACCTTCTTGGCTAAAAGTGCCTCCCCGCTTTCTTGATTTAATCCGCCAGGAAGAGTAAAACCAGCAGTAAATGTAATAGTGGCTAATAGAGCCGCCACCACAAATAATGAATTTCGCACTTCTAACAAATTGGTCCTACGCTGGAAGTATGATGTTTTTATCCTTGGATTAAACCCGATTCTTTGGCACATTTCTTCCTGCACATGGTTTGCAATAAAATGGATAACTACATGTACACAAGTTTTGTGATTTAATGTGATTTACTTAAAGTAACTTTGGGGTATTATTTGTGAGATATAAAAAAATTCTAAAATTGCAACTAATATGTAAGGGAGGAAGTAGAAAAATTGAAAAGCATACCCATTGACTATCGTCTTTGCAAGCTTGCTCCAACAAATCAGTGGGAAAAGAGCAAAATATTTATTTTATTTTTTGCATTAAAGAAGCATCATATTCATTATATATATATAATTTAATAAAATGAATCTTAATATGTAGCAAATTTTATTGGAAAGAAATCATACCCATGCCTGGTTGTCAGCGCATTTCTGAACCAATAGATCTATGGCAGAATTATCTTCATCATCCTTGATGTCATAGTTGATCTTATCAATGCTGAGTAAAGTTTCAGTCAAGAATAAGTCGTTATCTTGTATTGTTTTGTGTAAAGGTGTTACACCTTGAGAATCTTGAAGATTAATTAGATCCTTCATGTATGGAATCTTGAGAAAATCTTCACAGTCTATTGAACTTGTAAGTTTTATATGATGTAAAGAAGAATCCTTTTTTTCAATACAAAGATATCGAAACGCTCTCGGATTATGGTCGATGAAGGCACGAATAGCTGCGACATGACCATTTTCACAAGCTTTTGTCCAAGCTAAGGGGTTCGCTACTAAACATGGATGAATCTTTTTTCAAAACCGCTTTTATAAACCATGCAGAACCGGTTTCATATGCTGTATCCCAAGGTGATTGATTATTGTTATCCTGTTCGGTGATGAACTCTGGTGCTTCATTAACTAGCCATGTCCCAAATTCTTCATCTAATTTCATAGTTTATAAAAAAGATCATATAAGAATCATGTATTCGATCCGATCCCTAACTTCATAAAAACCTCATTTCCTTTGACTTGTCTTTTCTTAACTATAGTTTTCAATTTCCAATTGCATTGGATCCAAAAAATAAAAATTAAAAGTTAAGCTTATGAAAAAAGCACAATAATTTAAGATTGGTTTTCACCAAAAATAAAAAATAAAAAAAAAATAATTTGAGAATGGAGAGAGTATATGCTTTAAGCCTATAAAAATATACTCCTTTGTACTTTAATTATCATTCTCTTTCCATTTACTAGTCTGTTTATGTAAAATGAAATAGTAAGTGCGTCCTTTTTAAGAAAAAAAAAAAATAGGTATGAGTGAAAAAGTTTGTTTATAAAATTTATGTGGGTCATATGGTGGGTAAAGAGTAATAAAAGTGGATATTTTCTTTACCATAAAAAGAATAAAGAAAAATAGGAAGATAAAAAATGAAAAGTAGTAAGATAAAAAACTTTAAAAAAAAAATAATAAAAGAATGGAGGGAGTTTTAAAATTCATTTCATATATATGCTACATTCGTTTTATATTATTTGCAACTTTGGGTATTATTTGTGAGATATAAAATGTTTTAAAGTTCAAATAATAAGAAACGGAGGTATTATTGTTATTAGGAAAAATTGCATTGCCTGGAATAATCCGACCATTGTCTCATCCGCCTAAAATAATCCCAACTTTCAATTATTTTTTTAGTAATCCGACGTTTGATGTCAACACGCTTAAAATGGTCCCAAGTGACTAGTAACCTATTAAATAGGTAATTTTTTGTTGGGTTTTAAAGTACACATGTCACAACATGATTTATCTAAAATTTAAAATTTAAAATAATAAATTTTAAAAAAAAAAAAAAAAAAACCAGTCAGACCCAGCCACCCTAAAAATCTTTCTTTCTCTCTTCCACCACCTCCAATGGTGGCACATCTACCTTCTCTAAACCCACCTCCGTCGTTGTCGCTCTCATCGACGAGCTCAATAAGCGTCGCTTTCCTCTTATCATCGCCGTCAAAGAAGTATACTTTGGGACGGGAAAGGGAGAGGGGCTGGAATCGTGACGTGAAAGGGGAGGAGGGCCAGAATTGGGACGGGGAAGGGGTCGATGCAGTGGGGTTGGTGGTTTATCGGTTAATTAATTAATTTTTTGTAAGAAATTAATTGATAATTTTTTAAATTTCCTTAAAAAATAATTTTAACTTTTTTTCTAAATTTTATTTGGACCAATTAGGTGTTGATACGTGTTAGATAACATGTCATAAAAAGTTTGTTGATCGATTGGTACCATTTGAAGTGAATTGACATTAAAGGAGGTGGAATTATTTTGGGCGGATGAAGCAAAGGTCGAATTATTCCATGCAATTTTTCCTTATTATTATTATTATTATATATGTCTCCCTTCTTTCCACTAGGTGAAATTAGAAATATCAGTTAATCCCTGCATGTCTTCGTCAAGTGTGAGGCAAAGTAGCAATTGATAGTCAAACAATGTAATAACATAGAGTGCAACTAGACGCATAGCTGCTATTTATTTGGGATGCATATATGAGGGCTAACTGATAAATTCACATAACTTTTTTTATTGTTAATGTGGTATTTTTTTATGTACCATTATACATGTATTTTATGCTACTATAGTATAAGTTATTTTAGTAGTACTATTTATAGCCATTATAAGTAATAGTGGTATTATATTTGATGACAATTTATATACTTAGTTGTACCACTAGAAAAACATTTTTCATCACTCTTTTGTATTATTCATGCTATTTACTTGCCATGTAACTAGCAGCTATGCGCCAATACTTAACCAATAACATATACTCCGTACCTTTCATCTCGTAAAATTATGTGTAATAATAAATGCTAAATATTATTCTATGAAGGAACGAAAAACTAATACCTGTCAAGCTTGTAGCAAGATGCAATATATTCCAACCAGTTGAGGAATCTTTTAGATATTTGGTCCTGCTTCGCTTATCCAACTTTCCCAATATGAATTTGGCTACTTCAGAGCAATTGTTTTGTATAGCAAGAAACAACGTAGAGTGCTCTGGCTCGTAATAATCTAGCAGTTCATCCATAATTTCATAATCCCGGAGTAGTGACAATATGTATAGTCCAAGATCTTCACGCTTGTTGTGTAATGCCAAGTGTAGAGGCCCTTCGTTTTCTTTATTCTTTTCAAACCATGGCAATTTATCGATATCATCTACGCTCCAAATAAGTTTGTTTTTTTTGTAAGCTTCAACAAGGAGTGGTACAATCTGGTTTGTTGCTTTATGCGTGGTAGTTGCGGCAACATGAAAAGGATTGTTTTGATAATTGTAATCCTTAACATCAACAAGTTTTACAAACTGATCTTTCCACTTTCTCTCCAATATGAATTTAAATAGCCATTCTTTGTCACTTTTTATCCAACTATGAACTATTGTAGATCCTTCTTTATCTACTCCTTTGATTAATTCTGGATGTCTTTCCATTAGTTGTGCACAAAAGTTTTCTGCTTGTAAAGAAGAATTGCTATTTAATAATTTTTATACAATCATTCATAATTAAACAATATACGTAAAAGAAGCCTAATTTTATTGTGTATTTTACTTCCTTTGTACTTTTTAAGTTAACACATTTTTCAATGCATTGATTCAACTGTAGTATATTAAACGAATTATTATTAAAAGTTACTTGTATAAAAAGTTGGTTTTTGAAATTACAAATCGAAAGCAAAATCAAAATGATCAGACATGATTATGTTCATTTTTTAGCTAAATTATGTTACATATATAATGTCAAAAGTCGAAATGTATCAACTGTTAAAATTGACACTCTTTTTATTGAAAGTAGTATTTATAATATTAACTTTTAATAAATCTAAACAATGAATAGTTAAAGTTATTAGTAATTGCAAAGTTGTGCACGATGAATTATGTGTAAAGTCAATCCACATGGTACAATTAAATAAATAGTTGGCAACTTTTTATTTATTTATTTTAGGAAACATTTTGCTTGATATCAGACTCATCGTGAGTCCAATATATCTGATACTAATAATCTAATATTTGACATTAATAATCTAATATCTAACACGAAAAATCTAATATCTGATATTAATAATCTAATATTTGACATTAATAATCTAATATCTGCCATTAATAATCTAATATCTAACATGAGAAATCTAATATCTGACATTAATAATCTAATATATAACTATAGTAATCTTCTTAGGTGTATAAATACATGTTAAACCTAATTAGAATATCATCAACTTCTCACATACTCTATTATCTTATATTATCTATTATCAATAATAATGCTATAACTGAAAGGTAAAAAAGAAAGATAAATAGATCGTCGACTCACCTGTGCATAATGGAGCAAGATGCAAGATATTGAGCTTTTTATGATTCGTAAGAAGTTGAGTTCAACCTTCGTTATCGATTATCTTCAATATCTCTTCGGCAACTTTATGACATTGAACCTCGACAGCCAAGAATAGAACATTCTTCTTACTTTCGATAACTACATTTTCATCCACTGACAACAAATATATTGCGAGCTTTTCTTTCTTATGGGCTATGGCCAATGACAAAGGTGTATCTCCATTAATGTTCTTCACTAACCAAGGATGTTGATTATTTGAAAGGCTTGGTGATTCTTTTTTGTAAATATCTATCAGCATTTCTGCAATTTTTGTAGCATCTTCTGTACACGGGGCATATTTAGCCAAGTTGTGTAATGGATTGCCACCATAATTATTCGTTAAAGATACCAAGTATGTGAAAATCTTATTTACATCTTGGATGATATCCTTACAATCTAAGAGAATTTTGAATGGCCAAATTTTACCATCATATGCCCACAAATGAAGTGCCGAATCTCCACAAATTATAATTATGCACATGTGTGTATATTTGTGTGTTCATGTATATAAACATATAGTGATATACATATATTCGTATATGTTAACTCTCACTAAATTATACGAAGTACTTTATAAAGAAAAAAGTAATCACGGAATAAGATTTTATTTGATTCATATTGATGTTAGACATACCTAAACTCCTCGTATCTTACTTCTTAAAAATTAAAAAAAAAAATGATGTTGTACGAAGTACAATATTATTTTACTACAACTTTCTCATTTAAGTGTTTGTTCCATTTTAACTTACTATGTGTTTTCTCATCGTGTAACTTTGACCTAGACAATTAGTAATGAAATTTTGTGGAAATTTTTTTTATTAAAATCGATTGTTTTGAAAAACTACCTTATAAAATATGTTATAATAAAGTACTTTAGTTTTATAAGGTGTGTATACTGTAACAAGGTTCCATGCTTCCATTGCCATATTTTGGGAGTTTAACTACTCTTTCAACATCTACTTTTCGTTTATTTTCTTTTTTTTTTTCCTTCTTTTTCATAAAAAATTAATAAGGTATTTTCCCATAAAATTTCCTATATTTAATTATTTATTTGTAAAAGAACTATTAAAAAAAAAAATTACGTTCTTTATTGAAAGAAAATTAATAATAACCATGTTTACCTGAGCCTTCGATATAATGTATTGAGTGGAATGGAGTGTAGCCATTGTTTCCGCCGCCGCAACTAATAGGATGGGGAGACCTCAAAATCTCTAAAGCTAACTTGCTCATCTTCATATTTACGGCCTCGTAGACTAAGGAGGTACCACGATAATTAGGCATTTTGGAAATCAACTCCGTATCCATTTTATAAATTTCCAACGCACATTCTTCTTGAAAATTAAAAACAGCCACAAAGCAAGGGTTATCTCCCCTGGAGTTGTTCAATAACAAGGGTCGTTCATGTTCCAAAAGATGAGATGGTAAACAACGATAATAAACATCTACAAAAATCTTTGCTATCTCTTCTTGGTTTTCGGTTGCGGCCATGTGGAAGATGTTGCCATGATGGCGTCTTCCAGATTGGTCATCCTCCTCAGGATAGAAAGTCAAGTAGTATTCGATGGGTTTATTGGATTCAACACAATGTTTAAGGAAGTCTACATCTCCTCTCACTGCTGCATTTCTCAGCTCTTCATCCATTTTCGAGGATGTCATGATTGGAATTTTGGGTTTAGAACTGCTCTTTAGAAATAAATTCTAAAATCACGTGTGGTTTGGAGTCATATGAATTTGCTTGAATGAATTTGTATGGAGGAGAGTAGTGTTGTTTGGAATAGGAAGTCCCACAGCCACACTATAAAGTCAAGAAAACGAGTCAAGTGGAGGGATATTGTGTGGTGGGGTGTATTAGTTTGAGTTGAGCCGTTGATTTATGGGATTGTTTGATGGACGGTGGAGATGAGGGAGTTGTGTAAAGGAGTGTGTAACGGAGAGATGGTCTGCCAAGTGGGGTAGTGTCGGTGGCCGCTTTGTTTATGCTACCTCCATTATGTATTATTTGTAATAATTTGACATAAAGTGTGACTGAAAAGTATTTGATCATTGTAAATAATATAAAACAGATGTAATATAAGATTTGAATATAAAATTGTCTTATCACTAAGTCATGTCATACCTTATATTTTATATTTATGTATATAATAAATGACAATGTGAATAACAAATTTAATTACGAAAAAATTGAGTCATAAATTAAATGTATACTACTCCCTAATGATTAACCTATGTAATGAAAAAAGGAATTACTCTGTAATAAATTTTATTTTTTTGAGGAACCCTACCTTTTAATTGAGTCAAAGTATGAGGATATGCTTTATAACTTGCATTGGGACAATTGCTTGCTTGTTTGTAGCAAATTTTTGTCATGTCTATAATATAATAAGGTCATTATCAGATATATAAAACATTGTTTTTCAAAGGTAATGACCTAAAAGAGTTTAGGTCATTACCTAAGACACAAACAAGTTCTTGATAAATTATTTATATTTTCACGGATCAAACAGGTACGAAAACAATTAACGAATTGTTGTCTTCTCCAATCATACATTCGGAAGAACACCAATCATTTAACCTAAACCACCATGCCACCGACCACTGCGATATAGCCAAAAGACCTATGCGGGTAATTCATTCTTAACAAATACGTAATAATGCAATTTTGGTTGAGATTTTTTAATAAGAACAAAAAACTAAAAATAAAAAACCGAAAAATTCAAAATGCTACAAAAAAAAATTTGTAAACGAAATTAAAGATCGAACTTCACAGTGAAACATTGAACGAATTAGTGAATAATAGTGACAAATTTGCATGAAATTTTTGATTTTGGATGAAGAAAATGAAGAACAATGAAGAACAATTTTTGTTTTTCATTTTTAAATTTTGATTTTTAATTTAATTTTGATTTTCTGAAAAAAAAAATTAAGAAATCAAAAACAGAATTTATGAAATTATAAAATATAAGTTTCGAAAATTAAAAAAACAATTTCCGAATTAAAAAAATGAATTTTAATTAAAAAATTTTGAAAAGTCAAAGATGACATGGTTTATAATATCCAATTAAATTATGCCACATCATTAGACTTGTGGTAGTCACTTTTCAAAAGGCTACTGTAAAATTTTCAAAAATGAGCTGGTACATTTTATTTTCAAAAATATGCCGTTATTTAATTAAGTGTTTTTCTTGTTGGTGTATCAAAGCAAATTAAAGTTTGTTACAATCAATTTGAAGCAATGGAGATTATTGTTTGTTGAAGGTTCTTTGATTCCGGATTAATTGATTCTTTTAATATTTTGCTAGCTAAGAAATCATGACATTACGTGACCAATAAGTATTAAAAACCATTAGAGATACATATTAGTATACATTAATATATACTTCCTCCGTTTTTTATTTATCGCATTATAGAGCTTTTGACGGCAAAATTTAATAGTGGTAAAATTACAATAGTGTCCTTGTATTAGAAAAAAAATGAGACCCACCACATTTGGCATATGCTGCCAGCTATGGTGATGTGCTGCAGTGTATTACACAAAAAGTCACCAAATTTTCTGACTGAACTCCACTCACCAACAGTGAACAGTGGGAATATTTTACATTTACCAAACAAAATACAGTGAAGAACAACCAGACCCAAACATTCCGGCAACCGTAAGAGGATCGGATTTGACCTCCCCTTCCCCAACAATCGAGCTAACATAAATTAATTTATGACCGGCTTCCTCTTCTTCAACAGATCTGAGACCTTTACCAATCGCAGCAAAGGTTCGTTGGCTGAAAATGTCGCCACCTTTGCCCGACATGTAGAACAATTTAGGCCAGGAAGCCTGTTCTTCAAAAGCTTCAACAAGAGCAACAATGAAACCCTGCTAAATTTCATCGTCAGTCGCGAATAGAGCATCGTTTAGGGGTGATAGATCCATTCTAGGAGGAGGAAGATAGGACAAAGAACGAGGAAGAGAGGAGCAAGAAGGAGGCAGATCCTTTCAAGAGGAGAGAGAAAGAGGAATAGAGGAGGAAGAAAGAGGAAAGAACGGCTGTTGAAGGAGGAAGGGAGGAAAGAGAATGACCAAAGTGAGGAAGATGAAGAAGCTTCAAGAACTAGGGTTTGAATTGTACAAATACAATGATAAGTGGGCTTATCATTTTATGTTATTGTAATTCACCAGAAAAAAGGATGGGTTGCTGTAATAAAGGGGTTTAATTTGGTAAGTGGGGGAATAATAAGTGGCCTTATGATGTTATTGTAATAGGGGTAAAAAAGCTATTGTACAAGTAAAAATTTGCTAAATAAGGAATTGATGTAATAAAAAGTAAACTTCCTAAACTAGTAAGTGAAGCGATAAAAAAAGAATGGAGGATGTATGTATATAGTTTGCTTCATTACTTAATACAAAGTACAATTTACATCCATTTGATTGTTTTATTCTTAGTTACTTGTTGAGGATAAAACTTAAGTACTAGTAGTAATAAGATATACTAGTTACTACACACCATTGGTAGCCATCTAAAACGTATTATAATCTTAGTGGCCATTAGATTTACTAGTAGTTCCTTGTGCATTATTTTCAGTTTTTGGTGGATTATTTGGACCATGTTGTCCACCATGATTATTTACGTTCACATTATTCTTCTCTGCCTCGGCAGCATTCTTAACTAGAGGGTGAGGGTTGTTATATCCACCACGACCGTTGAGACTTACATCACCCTCCTCGTCTCGAGGTGGCCGGTGCTCTCCACCACGTCCACAACAACCTCCACCATAACCATCGGTCTTATGGAGTGATTCTTCTATTGGTGGCCAATGGCCGCCACCTCCACCTTTGCCACCCCAACCTCCTCCCTCTTTTCCACCCCAACCACCACCGCCGTATCCTCCATGGCCACCCCAACCACCACCATAACCATCGGTCTTATGAAGAGATTCTTCTGTTGGTGGCCAATGGCCGCGTCCTCCACCTTTGCCACCCCAACCACCACCACCGTATCCTCCATGGCCACCCCAACCACCACCATAACCATCAGTCTTATGAAGAGATTCTTCTTTTGGTGGCCAATGGCCGCGACCTCCACCTTTGCCACCCCAACCACCACCATACCCATCCGTTTTATGAAGAGATTCTTCTACCGGTGGCCAATGGCCACCATGTCCACCACCTTTGCTTCCCCAACCTCCTCCACCATGTCCATAACCTTCGGTCTTGTAAAGCGACTCTTCTTGTGGAGGCTTGTTATATCCTCCACGTCCATCAAGGCTAACGACCTTTTCTGCCTCTACAAAATCAATCCAATATCACAATAGAGAATTGACAAAATTTGTACATATTATTTTTTTGAAAGAAAAACATAATTTGTACATGTTAAAGGACATTTATGCATGATAAAATTATTGCTAAAAAAAATTAATTTAATCTTTTGAGAGAAAAAGAAAATATTCCATCCTTTATTTTATTTTTTTAAAGTGGCCCAATTTGTTTAGCATATTTGTCGATACGAAACTTTGACTAGTTATATCTTTAATTATCAATAAGTATAAACTATGAAAAATTGGTTTTTGAAACTATGTATTAAGAAGATTTTATCAAGTACTTATATGACTATATTAATTTGATGCGATTTACTTCTAATTTATTGAAAACATTGGTCTAAGTAATGTATGTATATACTCCTATATATATAGTGCAAAAGATAAAATAAATGCCCAATCATGTGGGTTATTTGTTGTCAATGTGCAAGTAGTTTCCAGACATCAAGTCTTTAATATTTATACTTATTTATAATTAAAGATATTATTGATAAAAATCTATGTTGATAAATAAATATACTAGTTAAAAATAAAATATTTATTTTAAAATAAGGGAGTATTGAGAAGGAAGGAGCTCGTTAAAAGTATGTAATTAAGCCTAATTTAGCAAATTATTCAAATATTACTATGGAAATATTCATGACGTTGTCACAAGATCGAGATCGATATCGATCATAATCTGTAATTTTATAAGGTTTGAAGATACAAATTGATGGACCGCCGGTTGATATTTTCTTCTTGTTATTAAAGGAAGTATTTTTATCAAGCAACATTTATAGTAGTACGGACCAAAATATTAAAGTACAATAAGTCAATAGTAGTAAAATAGTGAACGGCTAATTTGTCGAATTCTATTCGGCTCGAGCAACCCTTGTTTTACTTCTCGCATCGATTGATGAGAATGTGTTTTGTGTCATTCTTTAATGTTGTCTTTGTGTCATTCTTTGCATGTTTGTTTGACACGTGCATATATACATATTTACTACTCACTCCTACGATTTTAAGTTCAACTAACTTTAAAATTTGTTGAAATGTGCCGCCTTGAAGCAGCATGTTTCTTCGAGTGATCCAGCAGCCAACATACGGGTCTCACTACTATCACTGATTTTAGAATTGTCAATTTCTAACCCGAATTACCCTGAAATTCACTACTGAATCGATCCAGCGAAATAAAAGCCAACTCAGCCCAAAAGTCAAACTGATAAGATATATATATCAAACCTTTTTTTGATCCGTATTTAATTTCGAACTAGACGAAAACCTTTTGTTGCAATGGCACAAGAGGTTGCCTCGCATCCTCGAGGTGCAAGGTTCGATCTTCATCAGCAACAAATCCCAGCCGCCAGATAGGTTTCTTATGTTAGGAGCCTTCGACTGAGGCTCGGTTGATCTTACCACATATATATATATATATATATATATATATATATATAAAATAATCTAATTTCAAACTGAATGATCAAAACTAAACATAACTGATTATAGTCTAACATGTTGATGTCCTACCCGTTTCAATAAAAGGAAAATTCATTTAACTTGTACCGCGGTTTCAACCCGTAACCCACTCTATACCAAAGGACCAACCCATTTGACCCGACCCATTAATCCAATGACCCGTTACGCCTATATTGTTTGCAACATGTGATCAATTTAACCGAAATTATTTACAAGCCTTGACCTATTTCAACTGATCTATTTACAATTCGTGACTCGTTAAATGATTTATTTGCAACCTTTTACTTGGATAAATCGATATATTCCATATAAGTTCTACTCCGTATCACATTCCCGCAATATCGGAATATTGTTGACACCTGCACTTTCCTCTTTTGGTCTTTTCAAAATAATTTACACACTACCTTATATGTTAAGTGACCATCATTATATACATATCATACTCACCTAGGAGCTAGGACAACTAAATTTTTCTACATACCTCACATGAAGGGTTTTTTTTTATTTTTTTTAAAAAAAATACTCCCTATGCTTTTTGTAAGTGACACTAGCTTTCGCACGTAGGACTTGAATTGATGTTAAAAAGAAGACGAAAGAAAATTTTCAATAATTTTTAATTTACACTTGTATATTCAACTAAGATAAAAAAAAATCCAAAAAATAAAATAAAAATTCATCAATATGAATAAGTTTTACAATACCATTTAAAAAAAAAAAAAAAAAAAAAAAAAAAAAAAAAAAAAAAAACTTACTCATCAGTTGAAAATAAAGAGTTTTATACTCGTATATATGAACCAATAAATCAAACCGTTATCGAAGTATTAATAATAGATTGCATCCCAACAAAACTTATTGAACCTTTAAAATTTATTTAGTTGTGAATTGAGGTTATCGACACTTATTTTAATATCTAAATAATTAGATTTTATTAACGAAGAACAATTAAATATTGAAACTTTTTTCATTTGCTTAATTCTTTTTAAGAACAAAATCTGATTAAGATACTGGTGCTCAAATTTATCCAACATGTTACGCTTCATATATTACTTTACATCTTATTATATGTTACATGATGCAACGACATAAAGAAAACATGGACATACATAGACCACTTATTCTAGCTTAGCTACCAGCTAGAATTTCACATTCTGTTTACCTTATTCTAAGCTACTTTCTATTTGCTTAGGATACAAGTCGAAAACTATTACGTAGAAATTACAACGATAGCGCATTGCATGTTGGACATATATTACAGTGGCCCTGGATTCACTTGTAGTTCTTATGCGTTTTCCTCTACCTCGACCACCTCTTTAGCTGGAGGACGAGGCTTGTTGTACCCTCCACGCCCATCTAGGCTTACATAACTTTCTTCTACCGGTGGATGGGGCTTGTTATACCCTCCACGCCCATCTAGGCTTACAAAGCTTTCTTCTACCGGTGGATGGGGCTTGTTATACCCTCCACGCCCATCTAGGCTTACAAAGCTTTCTTCTACCGGTGGATGAGGCTTGTTATATCCTCCTCGCCCATCAAGGCCTACAAAGCTTTCTTCTACCGGTGGATGAGGCTTGTTATATCCTCCACGCCCATTAACACTTACAACTCTTTCTTGAATAGGAGGATGAGGTTTATTGTATCCTCCTCGTCCATGAAGACTTACGTCATGTTCTTCTAGTACTGGTGGATGAGGCTTGTTATATCCTCCGCGCCCATTAACACTTACAACACTTTCTTGAACAGGAGGACGAGGTTTGTTGTATCCTCCTCGTCCATCAAGACTTACCGTACTTTCTTCAACGGGTGGATGAGGCTTGTTGTACCCACCACGTCCATTGAGGCCAACATTATTTCCTGCTTCTACGTAAACAACGTAAGAAAGTATGAAAGCAATTAGTCGAGGACATATATGAAAATAATGTGTACAACTAACACTCTTAGAAAAAAAAAAAAGAAAAAAAAAATCTAGTCATAGTTTTAACATTATTAACCCTTTTGACTATTTAGACAAGAGTGAAAAAATAATATTGATAACAAAAAAAAAAAAGACGAATAGAGTATATAATTATTATAATTAAAAAACACATTACATTACGTCATTGTATGTACCAATTAATAAGTATATAGGAAAAGAAATTTACGTGTTTTTCCAATCGATATGTCACGAGCCGAGGCAACAAAAGAACTAAGTAAAAAAGTGGCAAAGAGTAGGCTAAGCAAGGGGAGTGGCTTTGAGTATGCCATTTTATGGTTATTTAGCTACTGAATCCTGCCAATTCCTTGGAGCCAAAGCTCACTTATTTATAGGCCGAAAAATGCCATTAAAAAAATTTAATATTCTTGAAATAATCATAAAATATAAATATATAATATATAATCGTATCAATATTTGCCAAACATATGATAAGGTTATCGCAGATATAAAATTGTTGGTATGTCGGTTAATTTGTTAGCTTATTAGCTTATTTGCAACTATTCTAGTAATTGTTTGAGCATCCAAACTATATTAAAATGAAGAGTAAAAGTTGACGGCTAATCTGTCTAAATTAATTTATCTACCTCGAGCAACCCTTGTTTTCTTTGCACCGATTGATGAGAAATGTGGTTGTGTTTGTATCATCCTCTAATTCTCTGTTGGTCAATTATTTTTTGTTGAAGGACTCTGCTGGTCAATATTAGTAAACTTCTCATAACTTCTCTCTTTCTCTTTTACGATCTTACCTTCCCTTTGTACACTTTCGAGTCTTCATACACTTCAAAGCTCAAACGAGCTACCATTAAAGTTGTCAAATCAAGTATGCATGCATTATGGGTTGATTTCAAATCGAGTCTAATAGGATAATGACCATAATGTGGGGGATCATCTTATCGAATACTAGAAAAAATATACTTGCTCATGTGACTTTGATTTTTCGTATATTTTTTGGATCGGATTAGTTTTTTATAGCTATTGAGTTTAAGATAAAATTGTAGTTTATAGGCATGTAAATTTTGTTTCATTTGACTCAAGTATGTAGATTTATCGTTTGCACACATTATGATCAAATAAGTTTAAATAAAAATATGTTCGTTATAAAAAAAATTAAAAATCAAAAATAAAAACTAAAAGATGTTTTGATAAGGGTTAATTAGGGTTATACAGATTCAAACATGTCCAATCTAATTGATCCTTTCATCTTGAAATACAAGTAGTATACTATATAGCTGTGGTGATAGTTGTTAGCAGTGCGAGTAACAACTAATGTTGTCAACAAGCTATTAGCTGTGAAGATTAGTTAATAAAGTATGAGTATTCGGTAAAGTAGTTGTTGAATGGATGTTAGTTTGTTACATATATACATAAACATCTTTTCCCTAAAAGTATAGAAAAAATTATCTACAACTACTTCTAATTTTCAAAAGCTAATAGTTTTAGCTTTTGACAAAAGGTACCTACACCAATAAAAACGATACCAACTACTATATTGTCAAATGTTTTTTTTTCCTATTAAGTAGTGGAATAATCTGCTTAAAAACTACTTAAAAGCTAGTAACAACACGCCTTATATGTAGGAATGTTCAAAAACGATTCGGACCGGCAATATAGACCAGATCAAATTGGACCGACAAAATGTGTATTTTTTTAAGTTCACTATGATCCAAAACATTTTATACTGTAAGTAAATTCATTTTAGACGTTCAATGTAGACATTAAATATCATTTCCTCAATAATAATAATATGGAAAAACGATTAAAAAGTATAGAAAATATCGAAAGTCTGTCAAAACCAATCCGGTCTGGATTTTGGTCCGATTTTACTAGTCTGGTCCAAGCAAAACAGGTCCGGCCACTGATTCTGAAAATTTTAAATTTTGTTCTTCGATCCGGTCTGGTCTGAGACCGATGAACAGCCCTAAGTTAAATCAAATTAAGATGGATAGTATCATAGTATACCCATTCAAATTAACAGAGCAATTGAATACATGAAGTGTTTACTGTTTACTTGTTTAGTTTCCATGAAAAAACCCCAGGCCTTATTTAAGCTCAACCCATAATATTACAAAACAGCCAGCCCAATAAAAAATTGAAGTGACAAAATTAGCCCAAAAATCAAATAACAATTTTGTGATCAATACGACGAAGCTTCGAACTAGAGGACATTGATCGTAGATCACCAGGTTAGCACTCTCTTTCTCTCTCCTCCTCAATTCCTCAACGCTTTTCTGCTTAATCCTATCTTCAATCAGTTGTATCATCGATTAATTCTGACTCCCATTTCGCTAATTTTGCAGAAATCAAAATCTAGCTTCAAATCGATTTGGGGTTTTCGAGTACTTTTCTGGGGTTTAGTTTGATTGTATTCTCTCTATTCGATCGAAATCAGAGCGAAAGAGAGGATTTTTAGTGCAGAAAAGAAATGGGGTTCCTTGTTACATCCCTAATTTTCTTGGTGATTGGAGTTATTGCTTCTCTTTGTACCAGAATTTGCTTCAATCGTGGTCCTTCTACTAATCTGTAATGTCTCTTTCTCTCTCCTATATTTGGATCTTTCAATCTGAATTTGCTCAATTTTAGCTCTACATTGTTTTTTGATGATTATATGTTGTTGATGTTTTTATGTTTTGTTCATTGACTTGTTGAAATTGGGATTTGGGGCTTAATTTTAAGTAAATTGGGGTTGATTAGAACTAATTTTTATGTTTATTAGTAGAGTGTTCAAATGATTGGATACATTGAAGAGTTTTGTGTTGAAATTATTGTTTGAAAACTTTGATTTATATGAAAAGATATAAATGGTTGATATGTTGTTGAAATGGATTGCGTTTGCTGGAGAGGGTTTAAGTTAATGGAGTAAACGAAAGAGAGTGATCTTCAGCCGGTGTATAATCGGATAAGATAGCGCAAGCCTTGGTTGGTAAGGTTGTAGACTGTAAACGAAAGGGAGTGATCTTCAGCCGGTGTATAATCGTATAAGATAGTGTAAGCCTTGGTTAAAGCTGTGGTTGTAGCACAAGACCAGATAATGTGCCACATTGTTTGCGTAGTTTTAAGCACTAGGATAATGTACCACTTCATAGGAGAGGCGGGGTTGAGGGGATTCTGTTCAAGGTACCATCTCGTAAGGTGAGAAAAACATAAAATTATTTCTCAATAAAAAGAAATATGAGGAAGGAATCTCCAATTTCTACCAATGGAAAGTCTGCCTTGTGTTGGAGTGTACTATAAATCTGTAATAGTCATGGCGAAGAGCAATGCCCTGCGGCCCTTGCCTGTAATCTGCTCTGATTGGCAGGGTCTATGGAGGTCCCCTTATACATACATATACTCCTTAGAGTTGTAACAATCCAAACTTGTAAAATTCTGTTTCTTAGGAAAATAAAGAGGGAAACTGGTATACTAGAATCCAGAAATTGTAGTAAGTTTATTTGGTTCTTCTAATGTGTTGTTAATTGGCCAAATTGGTCTACAAAGCTAAGTCTGCATCAATTTTTACTAGCAGTTGTGCCAATCTCTTCTAAATTTTCATAGATTCCGGACTTTTTTTGGTACCATGATCAAAATATAAATGATAGAACCTAGTGAGTCAATAAATTAGAGATTTATTTTTTGACAGCTGAGTGTCCTTGTTGGAATTATGGTGGAGAGCTTACATATTGCAATTTCATTGCCATGTTTTGTCACAACTCGTAGTTGTACAGGTGCCAAATACTCTTATGTTATCATGTGATTTTTTTTTTGACTAATTATTTACCATCAATTCCTACTTTCCTAGCACATCGCCATGCCAATTGAGGGATATTATGATATTGGTCAATGCACTAGGTAATTCATATTCACTTTTGTCGTGACCAAAGCTGCTAATATGCATCCTTCCCAAAATTAAAGAAAGTGTATTGATTTGTTCTACATTTTAAGGACAAGGGTCTGTGTGTAAAATTGATTACGATTCTAATGGGTGCCTATGTGGTATCTACCCGATTGTTGAAGATATCCGTTAGCTGTTTTTTTTTTTTTTTTTCTTTTTTTTCTCTTTTTTCTTAAAAAAATCTCAGTGTACCCATTATATTTACTTGTTAATGTTATTAATTTAATGACTAAAGTATTTTATTAATTGCAGGTTCCACTTAACTTTGGTTATTACAGCAACAGTTTGCTGCTGGATGATGTAAGTCTACTTTACCTTCCTTAAATCTTTATTGGCCAAGTGAAACAAAAATAGTGTACTGGCTAAGTAACCTAAGTAAAAGCATAAAATGTTGTGCTGTGCATGTAATAATGCATTAGCTTTTTTCTCTATCTTATGCAAAGTAATTTTATTCAATCCTATAATTAGATGGGAAAATTGAGACAAATGCATTAGAAACTATTAATCAATTGTAGACCTCCATTTGTTTCATGTCGTTTGGAGATGAAAATTTTCCATTTTAGGAGAGTTGCTACTTGCTAGTTGTTCTCTAGACTCCCAGACGGAAGGACCATAAACTGTCTTCTCATGTCACTGCATCAAATCTCTTCTTATTTTCCGTTGGAGAACGACTATAGCTGCTTTGTTTCTTTATTGAATGGTTGGGATAGACAAAGCCAGGACTATGCCTGGAAAGGCTTCAACTCAATGAGGAAAATCTGCAGTAGTGGGGTTTTATATGGCTAGTTTTTGGTTTCTGGGGAAGGAGAAAAGGAAAAAAAACACTGGGAGGTAAAAAAATGATCCTTTCATTACACATATGTTTCCCTCCCTGGTGTAAGCACTATGGAGTGATGCCAGATTTCCAGGTTTGGTGCATAGCTTCGTTGATAAAAAGGTTACTGCTATTATAATTTATTAGTCAATTGCTGACTTCTCGCAAAAAAAACTTTACTTCCGTGGGAAGAGGAAATACTTTTCTGATGAAGTGCATGCGGCGAAAAGCATGTTCATCTATCCCCACGTAGATTGAGAAAGATGATTAGTCTAGTTTTTGAATAATCTTATCCAATAGTCTGTTTGAGAGGTGTCTCTGCTTCTGGGTATTTTCCTTTGTAGACCCGTCCTTGGATCAGATTCTCACTAAACTGTGTTGCTAGTTGTTACAATTATTTATTTATTATTAGGCATTGTGAGCTTTACAGAATAGACCAAGTCTACTACTAGAGAGAATGAATGATCATTGATGATTACTGTCTTTACTGGCTAGAATGCAGTTTGAACAAATAAGTGTCATGAGAATTAGGCAGGAGTAATGGTTATTCTCGCTTAATAATCATTTCTGTTGATCTCTATCGTAGTCTGCATACCATGCACTCAGTTATAGAACATTTTTGCCTGGGTTTGTTTGACAATGTATTAGTGATTATGTATTCCATTCAAACTAGAGATGCTAGAAAGCTTGGAATGACTGTTGACTGTGCTTGTGGTTTCATTTTTATCTCTGCCTTTCTCACTATTTTTCTATTCTGTTAATCTCAACTACGCTAAATATTTGTTGTTCATATAAATCTCTATTTGTGTAGGTGGGCTATTGTATATCTTGCGCAGATGAAGCCCCTCATTAACCCTATACTGAATGAAGCAGAGTAAATTGGGGTTGTGGGCAAAATTAGAAAGTGTGCTTCTCTAGATACCAAATGTTACCATTTTGAGATTTTCAGAGGAACTGAGAGCGATGCCACGGCAGCGATTTCTCATGTGGATTTGTATGTAATTCTATTATTGCAGAGAATAAAAATATTCCTTCTTTTTTGGCTTTGAATATCACCTTGTATTTTTAAGCAGCAATCTACTTGTTTGAATTGATGAATCTTCTTTGTGGATGAAATAAAATCAGTTGGTGGAACACAACTATAGGCACTAAAAAAAATTTGTTGATGTGCCACGTTAGGTATTGTTTGGCTCAAATGTCAAATTCTTGATTCGTTATTTATTTGACTGTCAATTAAAAAATCAATTAATTTGGGTGAGCATATTGATTAGGCCAATTTTTAGCTATTTTAGTTGGAGTCTTTTTTTTTTTTCTTTTTTTTACCCAATTAAATGGGTTAAATTAAATAGCGCAATTTACCCATATTAAATCAAATGGCGTAATTTTACCCATACTAAATCAAATAGCGCAATAGATATTAGATACTAAATCCTAGAATTTTCACTCCCTCTATAAATAGAGTTCTATGCCCATCTTTCTTCTTAAAAATGTTTAGATAAGTTGAAGAGCTAGCTAACTACTCTATACATATTAATTACTTTTAGTCAAAAGATTACGCTAACACACACTCATACGTAGTCATTTGTCACTCCAAACATTGTAAAGGGAAAAATCATGCTATGCTTTTACAATTATAAGAGGAAATATTCGTACTGAAATTAGTCCCAATGGTTAACACACGACTTCTAATTGCTTCTCAGAATGTCATAATGCATGTAATTGGTAAGTGACTATGATTCTACTCCGTATTTATACTCTATAGTTGACTAGTTGTTATTGACAAAACATGCATTAACTGCCATTTCTACTTTTTGAAAATTTGCTCTATCTCTGATTTAGAAATTTGCATGGCCTCCTTTACTTTTTTTAGTAACAAAGAAGCAAAACATATGAATAACACAAAGATACCTATAGTATCTTTTGTCATTAAATTAGGGAAACACCTAATGAATTTTTTATATGCAAATTTTAAAAGTAATAGAAAAATTATAAAATGTTAGGCGGAGATTGAATAGATGTACTCCATTGTGTAAATGAGATCGAAAATACTGTAAATTTTTTTTTTGAACTAACCAACACTATCGATGATGCTAGCACTAAAAAATAAAATAAAATAAAACAATTACTTCACCAAAATTATTTTAATACCCATTGGCAATTCTCTAATGATGAAAAGTGAAAGGGGGTACCCAAATAATGAAATTATTAAAGGTGAGTCCCTAAAAATGCATTTTACCCAAAAATAAAAACAATTCAATCTATGTATGCTTGCTATATACTAAAGTAATCACCGAATAGGACACTGGCATAATTTTGTGAAAAGTTTTCCCTCCAAAATGCTTTTCATTTATTTTTTAAAATTTTTATAAAATAAAATATGTAATTCTTTTAATAAATTATATATAGAAGTCGTGAGACACACGCAAATTGCGTGTGCAATATAAGAAATCTATATGCATGGCTCGATTCTCCTTTTTTTCCTAAAATATCATCTATCTTATTCTAATAAAAAAATTATTAGTGGGTTTATAAATTGATGAAGTGATGGAGATTAATAGTGGGATATGATTTCCCTCAAAAAAAAAAAAAATAAAGGATGGTAGTTATATTTTTTAAATAGTGGTAGTTTTTTTTAAAAAAAATAAATAAAAGATGAAAGGGGCATTTTGAAAAAGTAAAAATTTTCACCCAAAACCCCCCCTTTCACTTTATATATTACTATAGATATATATAACACATAAAAAATTTTAAATTCAAATTTTAAAAAAAAATAATAATATAGTGTTACACATGTCATTTGATTTCAATTAACTCCATTTTAATTAACAATCATTATTAATAAATCTTGCGATTATCATAAAATCGTGCATCGCACGTGATCAAAACTAGTTTGATATATTTCCAACCCAAATGCCAAGGAGGTAAAGGGAAAAAAATAACAAAGATAAAAAAAAAAATTGAAAAAAAAAGGTGGAAAATGAAGGAAAGAAAAAAAAAAACTCTAAAACCCTAAAACATTTGTCTCCTCTCACACTCTTCCCCAATTTCCCCCCATCACTCACTTCCTTCCCTTCCAGGATAATAATTCCTATAAAAGCCCGTTATTTTTGTTTTTTCTCACTCCACTTTCTTCACTCTCAAATTTTGCATCAAATCAAAGAAAAAAAAAATGGCAACTCTTGGATTTACAAATGCCAATAAACTAATATACTCCCATCCCATTTCAACCCAATTTTCTCATACCAAAAAAAGTTTCAATTTTAAATCCAAAACTTTTTTCTTTCCCAAAAATTTAAGAACAAGAAGAAATAATGGGCGAAATTATGCAGGTTTTTCTACTTCTTGTTCATTTACTCCAATGGAAACTGCTAAGATTAAGGTTGTGGGTGTTGGTGGGGGTGGCAATAATGCTGTTAATCGCATGATTGGTAGTGGTTTGCAGGTATATTATCTTCCAAGTTTCATTTTTTATTTATTAAAATCCAATTTTGGGTGATTTTATTGTGTTTTGGGTATTTTTGAATGAAATTGGGGCACGTTTCTATATTACCGTTGTCAAATTGGACTTTTGGGTATTTGTAATTGAAATTTTGGGTTAATATGCTGAATTCTTATGTTAGCCTCAATTAGACTTAGTTGAGTTTACATTTTCTGTGAATTGTGATTGAACCCTTCAATTCCACTTTTGAATCGAGCATTTGGGTCTTCCACATTTTAATTAATAAAAGTTACTGTTTTGGAGCTTCGATTTGTTGCATTTTTCGCCAGTAATGAGATGCCCTTTGCTTGTTGAATGGTTTTGGGCTGGATTATGTTGTTGCATTTTTGCTCTTTAGTGTCTAATTTTGTAAAATTGCAATCTTAATTTTCTAAGGTCCTCCAATGTGTTTGTAGGCGAATTTTAGGCCTTTGTAGTATAATTTTATTTGGATTTATATCGATGAAGGTGAGTTTGTATCTCTGCAATACACCTGTTGTTTTGGAGTTTTGGTTTGCTAATAAATATACGCTGTATGATATTCGAATAATTTGTGATTGGAATCCATAAGTAGCATAATTTAGAATTCACTCAAGTTGATTTCGTAATGAGTTCCGAAAAAAAAAACACACACACACACACCTTGAAGAGTTTCTTTGTAAAATGTATGCTTGCTGTAACTTCTTGCCTCTTACTGGTTCTTAGCTGTTGTATCTTCTCAGCTTTTTGATCTTTGCTTTTCATCCCTGGTCACTCTTGGGTTTGTAAAGATTGTCATACAAGTTGTACTTCCTCACTTTGTTCTTTGTGGTTGCTTGATGATATAATGATTTGAGTGGGTCTGTGTAGAATTTCCCTAAAAATAACACTTCACATACTCTTTTTGTGCTATTAGATGTTTGGCTTTTTGGAATGTGTTCTGGAAGGAAGCTCATTTCTTATGTTTGCTCTTAGTGCTCAATACTTGCCTAATTGGATGTAATTAATACAAGTTCTTGTTGGCTTTCCTAAAAATTTTGTTGATTAAATATTTTACCACAATTGGTTATTAACTCTCTCACAATGGGATTAATTCGCAACTGAATATTCTACCCATGCCTAGATGACCACATGTGGCCATTTATAAAACGTTTGTGTTAAACAGTGGGAAAACTACTCTAGATTTGTTACAGATATATTGCTGTATCAAAAATTGCCAAAAGTTGAGACTCCCAGCACCCAATTTGATATATGTATGCCTTTGCTGTCAGGGTGTTGATTTCTATGCCATAAACACAGATGCTCAGGCGTTATTGCAATCCGCTGCTGAGCACCCAATTCAAATTGGAGAGCTTTTGACCCGTGGATTAGGTCTGGCACTTTTTATATTGTTCAGTATAATGTATATTATATCTTATTTATAAATTTAGATATTTTTAATATAATCATGTACTTCGTATTAGTGTGCGGTGTGCCCTGTCCTTAAATGTGCATCTTTTTCATGACCAATTTTTGCCTGCCTTAATCATTATCCTCAATTTACTATGTCTTTTGTATTGATTGTACGGAGTAATAAGTAGCAGTGATACAGGTACTGGTGGGAATCCATCACTTGGGGAACAGGCTGCTCAAGAATCAAAAGAAGCTATTGCAACTGCACTTGCAGGATCAGACCTAGTGTTTGTAACAGCAGGAATGGGTGGGGGTACTGGATCAGGTGCTGCCCCAGTCATCGCCCAAATAGCCAAGGATGCAGGTTATCTCACTGTGGGTGTGGTCACTTATCCTTTCAGCTTTGAGGGTCGCAAAAGGTCACTGCAGGCAGGTGCCCCTGTCTTTGAATAATGCTGAAGTTCTTGCCTTGATCAAAACTGTTGTTTGTTGCTTCCATCTGATGAATGAAACTTGTTCGCCTAGTCTTTCTTGCTTTCCAATTATGCTTAATTTCTTTTATCCTATTTATACCTATATAAGAGATCCTTTCACGATCTCTTTATAGCCTTTAATAAAGCTCATATTGAGTATTTTTTTAAAATTGTGATATTCAGGTTATTGGCATTACTTCATCTTTTCGTTTCTAATCTCATCAGGCACTGGAAGCTATTGAAAAGCTGCAAAATAATGTTGATACCCTCATTGTGATACCAAATGACCGTCTCTTGGACATTGCCGATGAACAAACTCCTCTTCAGGATGCTTTTCAGCTGGCTGATGATGTTCTTCGCCAGGGTGTTCAAGGAATTTCAGACATAATTACGGTATGTCAATTGATATATAATTTTCTGACTGTTCCATTGATTGAAGGCTCCCTGTTGAGAGGCTAGACTTGCATAAAAGTAAATGTGAACTATTGAAGATGTCAGTGTCTGACATTACTGTAACTAGCAACAACATTATGGCTTATTTAGCGACATTATGGCTTAGAGTGTTTCTAGGATGTTAAAACATGTATGAGACCATTATGTCTTCTTAAAGACACTTTACTGTGATTAATGTGGTAGATGGTTAGCTGTTAATGGCCACAAATAACATATTGGTGGTGGTGCAGAGCTTAGATATTTGAGGGGCATGTACAAACTAGTAGAAATGAGAGTGGTTTTAGGCAAGTTCCTGTTGCATCATACCATATATAAGCTATTCTTGTCTTGTAGAGTTTGAAATTCTTCTTTCTTGCTCCTTAGATTCCAGGACTTGTAAACGTGGACTTTGCTGACGTCAAGGCAGTCATGAAGGATTCTGGAACGGCAATGCTTGGGGTGGGTGTTTCCTCTAGTAAAAACCGTGCTGAAGAAGCAGCTGAGCAAGCAACTTTGGCACCTCTTATTGGGTCATCCATACAATCTGCTACTGGTGTTGTATACAATATAACCGGAGGAAAGGATATAACATTACAGGAAGTTAACAGAGTATCACAGGTACAGTTATAGATTTCAGTCTGTCCTTTATCTGAGTAAACTTTGTTCAAAACTATCATGTAAACAACAGATGAAACAGGTTATGTAGCTATATAAATAACCAATTCATTTGCTAACAAATATGAACAACTTACAAAAACCAAATGCTTCAAAAACTGCCAGTCTGAATAAGGGCAAATGAAACTATTGAACTAGTTTATTTCCGAGATTCAGTTAGAAATTCTTTTAAGCATGCTAGAGTGTACTAACATTATAAATTCGACATTTTTCAGGTAGTTACAAGTTTAGCAGATCCATCAGCTAACATAATATTTGGGGCTGTTGTGGATGATCGCTACAATGGAGAGATTCATGTGACCATCATTGCCACAGGCTTCTCCCAGTCATTTCAAAAGACACTATTAACAGATCCCAAAGCTTCAAGGCTTTTTGATAAAGTAACCCAGGAAAGCAAAGGATCTACTGGTATTCCCAACTCATCCCCACTCTCTCCAAACTCCGTACCACCACGACAACCTCCAAGAAAATTGTTCTTCTAGAGTCTGAAACATAACTCCTTTAGCCATGCCATTGTTTGATCTCTTGTCATGGGTTTGTAATGATCTTGGAAAAAAAAAATGAATGTTATATCTTGCTTATCCCTACCTCGTATCTTCCTTCACGTCTTTTTTTTTTTGTTTAACTAGGATTGCTTGATTCTCTGATGTGTCCTACATACGTACATGCTTCAGTATGAAACATGCTAATGTAAATCTTTTCAATTCTATGGCTGAAAGCCTGAATGTATGGATGGTAAACTCTAGTAGATCTCAAATTTGACCTGATTCAATTTTTTTTTGTTACGATCTTTATCAACGGTTTGTCAAAAGATTGTATTATAGATTATGGCATCTTTCGAAAGGAACACATTGTGTATCAAAATTTATAATCGTACAAAAAAAAATAAAAAGAATTTGGGTTAAGTTGTTTTTGATTGCCAAAGCTGTTAATTGAAGGAGATGGGTGTGGGGAAGAATGGAGAGGGATAGAGAAAGAACGGTCCAAGGAGATATAGTAGACGGTGGAGCTGTGGAGGAACACGGTGTCGTCTTGACCTGTGATTTGCTCCATCCTTTTCATCTCACGCCAGAAAGTGTTGCTGGAGATTAATTGGTAGTTATTGATGTGAATCCTTTTAAGTTTTAATTAACTATGGAAGGTGGTTCATTTTTGTAAATTTTTAGAAAATATTCTTTGTATTACGGAGTATGAATTATGAATTTATGATACTGTTACTACTGTATTAATTTTCTTTATTGTTATTAGGATTTTATTTGTGTGAATTTAGCTTGAATTAGGATTCTAGCAATTTTACTAGATTTAAGTCCATACAATAGCACATATTCATTAGATATATACTTCTTTCGTTTCTTTTTAGTTGACACCTTTTTTTAATTACGTTTGCAAATGCACAAATTAAATCATTAATATCTTTAAATTATAAGAAGTTGATAATTTGAAAATATATATCATGACGAATCTAATAAGATCTTACATGACTATATTTTTCATTTACATATAAAGCACACAACCGGTTAAAGGAGAGTGTATAAATAGTGCTAGAGTCAAAACGTGAAAACTAAAAAAACGGAGGTAATACATTAGATTCCTATAACTAGTTTAGATCGAGTTAGAGATATTATTTTAGATCGATCCTTTGTTAAGTGTTATTAGGGTTTTTGTATGAATTTGGCTTGAATTCAATTTCTCTTACTTTTATACGCGCATAATTTTATAGTGTTATTCGGCTACTCAAAATTCAGACTTCCTTGTATGATCATGAAGAGAAAAACTCTCCAAAGCTTACCTTTTTCCATAGTTACACTTCCTATGATATTATAGAAACAAACATACTCCCAAGATTACCTGTTAAGTCTCTTTTTCGTTTCAAATGCGTTTCCAAATCATTTTTAGCTCTAATTTCCTCCCCGGAATTTGTCGATCTCCATCTTCGACATTCTCTAGCTTTCGATGAAGGCAAACGCTACCTCTTTATGTCCGGGAATGATTGTTTCCTTAACTCCTTAAACCTTAATGCCCCTGAACTCCCCCAAGTGAAGTTTTCGCTTTCCCGGGTTTTTAACTGGAAGAAGGGCAATATTTCTGTGGTTGGGTCATGCAATGGTTGGTATGTCTTATATTGGGAGACTTTGAAAACATCATATTGCTCAACCCTTTTACTAGATTTTTCAAAGAGATACCCAAGGAATATAAAGATGGTAAATTGTGTTTAGGGTTCGGGTTTGACGAGGTTTGTCGAGACTATAAGATCATTAGTGTTATGGGATTGTCTATCGTCGATGGTGTACCAAAAAACAATGTTATGGTTTATAGTTTGAAGGGCGATACATGGAAACATGTCGAAAGTAATGCATATAGTCTCTCTATCTCGAGGGAGAGGATGGGAACTAGGTGTGTCGTCGTAAACAACCATTTACTGCATTGGATCTCCCAAGACCTTTCTTTGGATCCTTATAATCGGATTGATTGCTTTGATCTCTGGACGGAGCAATGGACTCGAGTGCCATTGCCTAGGAAGTACGGTACTAGGTGTGCCCGTCTAGATTTGGAGATTCTTGACGGGTGTTTGTGTTTGTTGGTTGAATGAGGGGGTTACTTTTTGGACGATATATGGATCATGAAAGAGTACGGAGTGAAACATTCTTGGGTGAAATTATGTTGCATTTCGAGCTTTCCTTATCGTTGGGCAATTGGTAGGATTACTCCTATTGCTATTTGTAATATTAAAGTGATGTGTTTTTCCAATAATCACTCAAGGTTATATTGGTATAACATTAGAGATAAATCCTATACCGAGGTTCAACTTCATGGAGGCACTCCTAATTTGTTGTTACAAGCTCATGTATGCGAAGAAAGCCTTGTCGCCATTCCCGGAAGTAGACAAATCTATGCAGCAAGCAAGTGAAGCTAGCATATATGATCCTGATAAGTAGCCAAATCCCAGCAGCAAACAACTAAAGAGTAAAGATACGTAGTACACATTAGTATGTATGGCACTTTCGGTTTACCTTAGTGTTATTAGAAAAAAGATTTTGGCTTTAATCATTTAGAGTGTTTACCACTTTTTTCGAAATCATACGATGTTATCAAGAATAAATGCATATTAGACCATTTTGTCTTTCAAAAAACATTTGTATTATATCTTGTTAATTACTTATCACAATTGGTGACGAGGGGAAGAATTTTGAAATAAGGGGACTGTAAACTATGATTGTTTTTGTGATTTTGACATTTGAAATAATATGCATTGAATGTCTAATATCAATTAATTTACACTATTAGAATACAATCTTTGAAGTATCGCATTGAGCAACTACAAAAATAAGGATAGTTCAGGGGCTGGAGTGAAAGAAAACATGCTAATACCAAAATGTTCAAAGAGAGAGGATAACAAACGACCACCGTCTGTCTCTTCCTTCCAGGCCAGAGCAAGGGCTGATGCCTTTTTAGCATGAACATCTGTTTTCTCTCGTCTACCACTGCTTCCTGAGACATTTTCATTTTGCAATTGCTGGCTAATTGCTGAAAGGCCAGCATCAGATCCCCCAACGACTGCAGCAAATCCTCCAGCAATCCCTTGTATGTTGGCTTGCATGGAGTTCACTGGTATCACTCCCATCGCACCATTGGTTGATAATTTCTTCAGGGGTGGCTGTTGTAGCATGTTGTCCGCACTAGCTTTTCGCTTGCCTGGAAAAGTAACAAAAAGATGAAGGCAGAACCCAGCAATTGACACAAATCCAAAGGAAGAGGTGCAATCTTCTCACAAGGATTTTAAGACTTCATACATTCTATTGAGGGGGTGGGGCACCAAATCAACCCCTCACCCCCTTCTAAAAAACAAAGAAAGAACGCAAAAGAAATTAAACTCTTACTAGGTAGCACGGTCACAATCTTCTTATTGGACTTCAAGATAGGTCTTGCCAATGGAAGTGGTAAGCTTGGATATTTCTTCAACTGATCATGCATGCATTTGCCAGACGCAAACTGGAACTTGTAATATTGTGTCAGTTCAAAACAAACTGAAGAACATAACAATACTAGATAATTTGGTACTAAAAGCTCACCAATAAGGCCCCATAGACCCGCCAAGCTTCTTGCCTTCTAATCTCATTCTTCTGCCCTTCTAGTTGCATTTCTGGCCCCAGAAGCTGCATATATGGCTCTAGATTTGGAAGTATCAGCAGACGAACCTAAAGTCATAAGACATTGATTAAGCTTTCTCATTGAAGCCTAGCTGAAGAAAAAAAAAATAATCTCCTCTCTTTCTGCCTCGATTTCATAGGATTACCACTAAAATTGATAATTGGTATACAAAAATTAAAAATTGAATAGCAGCATAGGTAATTAAATATAATAATGTTACTTTTATTTCCTTTTAACTCTATGCTTATGAAACATACCACACTAGGTCCAAGGGCAGCAAGCCCTTGAATAGCACCATAATGTTGAGGCAGTGCTTTTTTTGGGTCCAAGAAAGCATGGAGCAGTGTCCTGGTGACTCGAGGCTGGAGGTTGTGATAAACATGCCCAAATCTGTTGAAGGTTTTTTAACCAATTAGACAAACAGGCAAGAAGAGAGACAAATTTCAGGTTAACTGGCAGCCAAGAGTACAGCAAGATAACAGTATGTGATTTGAAAACCTACTGCAGATTGCATTGCTTGTTCACCTAAGTTAATATACAGTTATACACCATAACTGCATAGCCACAACAAAAAATAGCATAGTATCTACATTATTTTTCTTTAGGATCATTCATCCTGTAACACAGACCATACCTTTGACATACTCGGGCAACCAGGTTTGCGCTAAGGTTTCTCAGCTCCCAATGATTGTCAGAATATCTGTTCCCTAGCCTCTTCGCTACCAAACAGGTAATGACAGAAGGCATAAGCTGGTGCACCTACAAAAAGGCCATGATCACAAGTTCAGATGCAATTAGAAGAAAACATTCAGATGATTATAAAGTCAGCAAGTCTTAGGCAACAATTACGTTGACCAAACCAGATCTTTATAATTGGTAGACAAAGTACACAGATGGGATTTACACCAGAAAACAGAATACAAGATAGGATAATGTTCAAGTCGAAAAAATGCCATGACAATTTCATTTCAGGACAAGAACATGTACCAAAAATAAGTAATTGCCAACTAGCTATGTCAGTTAAAGTCTTCGGGACAATCAATCATAACATATATTAAAGACAACAAATGCTAGTTATAGCACCTTAGTTTGTGACATAAGAAACTTAAAAAGCTTATCAAAGCCAATAGATTCAGCAACTGGAACATTTTAGCAAATGAAAGGGACAAGTAAGCTTATGCTCAACCATAGCAGTATAAAGCAGAGTTGGACTTACATAAGGCTCCACATGTATATGTGGGTTCTGAAGAAGGCTCCAAACAAGACGCATCAATCCAGTTAAGAGACTTAATTTATTCAGATTCCGAGAAACCTGTAGTCATTTGACTCAGTTCAGATCGTCAATTACCTAAGAAAAAATAGAAAATGTATGATGCAAATTAAATCAAGGATTGTAAGCAAAAGAGCATCACAAATTACCTCATCACCAATGAAGCATGCGAAGTAAGGTACCAAAGGATGAAGTCCAGAATCAGTTGCCAAGCTCCGCAAAGCTTCTTTGAAGAGAACTGTATCAGACTTGCATGTAGTAAGCTCAATAACTTTGTCAAAATAAAGCTACATTCAGAATGGAAGAAAGGCTTGGGTCAATGTTAGGCAATTCATAAATCAGTGAAAGTTAAGGCTTAAGGGTATAAAACAGTGA